TTATTTCAAATTCTGTAAGGTGGTAGTACTGCTTTTGTTTGAAAAGCCTGTCAGTTAAGCATGAATGCAGCAATAAGTACCTAATTTAATATTTGTGTGCAACCTTCAAAAATTAATTTTGTATACAATTATTATCATTTTCAAACCCTCATTAAATGAATTAATGTTAAATTAATTTTGCTTAAAAGCTGTTTTATATTTAAATTTTGTCGTTATTAATTCATATGTCAAGTGTTAATGACGCCATCTTTTTTGATTCAATTAGAAGTTTTTTATTTAAATTCTGTAAGGTGGTAATATTGCTTCAGTCAAATTAGCCCATGACCATGAATGTAGCAATACATCAGTTTCAAGAATAAATTCAGTATACAACTGTCATCAATTGCAAACGGTCATCAAATAAATGCACTCTTAAAATCTTTTTTATTTATTTTCTTGTGATCCATTTACAACTTTGTGTATCAAAACTTAATGGCCTCAGGTCTTACTACACCCTATGTGTTTGAGTGAAAAGCAACGTGCTCTCCGGTACTGAAAATACTCTGGAAGGAAAAAGACGAAAACATGTTCCGCTACATCTACGTCGTCTATTTATAAGCCAATGTGTTTTGGAATTTATAGCGGAAGAATATTATGATTCCTTACATCAATTTCGAGCTTTCCAGAAACTCTACTAAACAGGAACAAATCCACTGCCGGCGATGAAAGGTTAATTGAAAAAAAGAAGAGTTTTCTGACTTTTTTATTGAGTGGGATCGTTCTATATAAGAGGAGGTGATACTTTGACAGCGTTGCGTGTCGCCATACTGTCTGCAAAAAATGTAAATAAACACAATGAACATGCAAGGGTACGTACATAAATTAAATATATATACATATATATACATATATATATATATATATATATATATATATATATTTTCTATTTTTTGAGAAAATTTTCAAAATGTAATATTTATAAAAATTATTCTCTTGAATTTGATAATACTTATATATGCGCTTTAAGTATAGGAGCATAATGCAAGAGTTCCCTATATTATGGGTTAAAACAGGTTTTGTTAGACATGCGTGTTCTACCATTCATATGAGCTTGAACTAGAATGACAATATTTATAAATGTGTGGACGTGATTTGAATGTTATTCGTTAGTGATCATAATTCAAGATATAATACAAACACGTTTTATTGCAAGTTATTGAAAACCTCATAGATCCATACTTAATGATTTTGAAATACATAATATAAAAAGATTTGATGATTTATTGAGGTAGTTGATCATAATACATATGATATTTGTATGCATTGCGCGCGGTCTCAACTGGTTTAAAATCGCAACATAAATTCAGGAACAGCTAATAAGTTTCTTTCTTTCAAAAGCATAATGACTTTAAAATTCATTGTGCAACAATTTCATTATGTGTAGCAGTATTTTTTTCTCATTTTACGGATAAAATATTTTTGTCAAACCAAATTCATAATATGAACCACGTGAAAATAACTATATTATAACAATTTACCAATTCTTATATCTCTTTAGCTTTTTAACTTCTCGTAGGGCAAGTTATAGTAATCGCAAAAAAATCGAAAATGAAAATGTTTACATATCTTTACATTTTAAAACCTTCTGAACATTTTGACATACCTTAGAAAAAATGGATGTATGTGTGTGTATATGTGTGTGTGTCGTGTATGTGTGTGTGTTCGGATACAAATTTTTGTCGACGATTTCGGGAACCCGGATGAAGCGATTTGAATAATTCAAAAAACATTCGATTCGTATTGATAAGGAGACGTACTGATTAGTTTTTGGCGAAGGCAGGTCTAGCCGTTCCAAAGATATAGGGCAAAAAGTGCCAAAAAGGGCAACTCAGTCCGATTTGAATAATTCAAAAAACATTTTACTTGTATTAACAAGATGAAGAACTGATCAAATTTTCATGAAGGCAGGACTAGCAGTTTCGGAGATCTAGTAAAAAAAGTAAAAAAAAATGCCATTTGGCGATCAAAAATGATCATTAGACATATGTACATCAAATTATCAGATATTTAATAGAGATTTTAATAATATGTATAAATATTGTTTATATTCCTATGGGTTCCATACCAATGTTTATTCGTTAGATGGCGACGCGGCGCTTACGCGCTTCGATATTTCGTCTCTATGCAGTTAAAGGAGTACGATTTCTTTGAAAAAAGTTCAGAATTTCCAAAATATTTCAAAATAAATTTTTCTTCAAAAAGTCTTTTTTTTTCAAAAAAAAAGTAAATTTTTGTCAAGAATTTATAGTTTCTCAAAAATCTAACTTTTTCAGAGTAATTTTTTTTCAAAAATGTTAATCTTTTTAAAAAAAATAATTTTTGGTACGGGAAGTTCCAGTAATTTGCCGTAAGGCACAATGCCATGCGCCCCACTAGTTGATTAGCATTATTGGAATGCTTATCAATGAATTTATTTTCCAAGTACTTATTCAAAATTTTAATAGAGTTGATCTTTAATTTGCAGCAGAAATATAAGGATATAGCTTTTTTACTTGGAAGCTTATTGCTAATCTTGAAAAATAACTTTTCAAAAATAAATATACATATAGTATATTATTAACATAATTTTTCAATTGTAATCTGACAGAAAGTTGTTGCAGTTTATTTATTTTTGTAAATTCATATTGCAGAGTCGTTCAACCTACATAAATGTTGAATAGCAAGCATTCGACATTCGAGATGTTATCAAAAGAATATAAGAATTATAATGCATATAGATTTATTCAAATGCGAAGTCCCTTGTATTTCCTGTTTATTCACATTATACGTGACCATCCATATATACATTTTGTATATCGGTTACTGTTTGTATTTCAAAAAAGTCATATGCAATTTACACAAATCAACATTAAATTCTGTGGCTGTGTTTCTATTGATAATCTTTGATGGATTGATTTTGGCACGAATTCGATATTCTTGATAGAAAAGTAATATAAACATAGAGAGGAAGTTTTGCTATCAAACTTTATTTGTCGATGTGTGTTTCTATTATTTATGATTTTACATAAACAAAATTTGCACAATTAATTTCCGGCTTATAAATAGATTCCAACATATGTTTAATATTACAAAGAAGGATCTAACTAGATTCTGATTTGATTCCAACTTGATTCTAACTTAATTCTAACTTGATTCCAGCTTGATCCTAATTCAATTCTAACTTGGTTTTGGCCTAATTGCAACTAAAATCTTATTAAATTTTTACTAAAATCTTTCTAAAATATTGCTAAAATCTTGCTCAAGTTTATGAATTTGCTATTATCATTTTCAATTATTTTAGAAAATCTTTTCGAGTTAAAAAACAAGAATTTTATTCTAGTAAATTTTAACTCTCATTTTTTTTGAGTATGACCTATTTTGTACTAGAGCATGGGAAATACAATTACGTTATGCTTTTTTAAGCAATTTTATTCGCTTCACTTCTTAAAATGTTCTATGTTCAGGATAGAAAATATTGAGGCGTGGTATTACTTTTTTCTGAATAAGTCGGTATCAATAGAATATAATTTATTTAATTAAGGGGGTATTCTAGTGTAGAAATTCAAAAAAATCGATTTTTTTATTTCATATTTTCATAGATTAACTATCTAAGAATGGTACGAGAAGGTTTTTGAAAATTTGAATTATTTTCGTAGATATAGGCATTTTACTGACTCGGTCCCCATACTGGTTTGGCTTCACGCAAAACTTTAAATGCGTTTTACTCAGAACAGGCTTTTTCAGTACTGTTGACACGATTTCTCGAGTTTGTTTGTAGTTTGTTTATAGACCTATCTATAGTCCGAACTAGGATTATCCCCAAATTCCAATTTTTACTATTTTTAAAAAATTCGAGAAACTCAACAAACAGTAAAAAAACACTTTTTTTCAAACAGTCGCCAATTTGTAAAAAAAAATTTTTTTACTCATCGCCAGTTCGGGCGATTGCGACATCATTGTAGATTAATAATCTTTTAATTTTTTGCATTTCCGATGGCTAGGAGGGCTGAAATCATGTCAAGACTGAGGTGCAAATTTTTTGAGACCACTCACTTCATCAGCTGCCAGTTTTTACAATTTTCAACTTTTTTATTTTTTAATTTTTGTTTTGTATTTTGATAATATTAATAAACAAGTGGTAAAAAAATGGATAGTAAAAACATTCATTGCTTTCTTTTAAGACATTTTAAAAATGACCTAAAATTCATCGCTCTACACTAGAATACCCCCTTAAGTGATATGTTTACAAAAGTAATATATAATTAGAGTATTTTATAAAGTGTAGAAAATAATATTACTTTATTCGACTAACTCTTTAACTATTCAAGAAAATTATAAACGTCTCTAAACGCGTTATAATAATTCATCAGTAACCTCATACTTTTATGTTTGGCCATTCCGCTTTTATTATTAATATGGTTGGTCACTCTTGTTTTTTATCAAATGCTAATTTGTTATTGGTTTAAAGTTTCATCGTTTTTTAAATAATCCTATCGGTGTAGTTTGATTTTTTTCTAAGAAAATGCATTTCATATCTTATTTTGATTTTTGTCATTGAAATATACCTGACATATCAATTATCAAATTAGTTGAATTAAGAAACTAAAAAATTAATTGTAATTATATATTTATAGCATATACTTTTCGATACTAAATATGTATCATTAATCAGTTTTAAAATAATCAAATAATAATTGCAAAAAAAACTAAATTCTGATTTTTTCTCTTATTATATTTTCTGCTAAGAAATTGAACGTTAAACACTACTCTATTTGAATTTAATTTTAACTAAAATTAAGAAAATACAATATAGAATCTTACAGCTGCCGATGCTAAAGCAGATGTTCTAAAAACATTTTTTTAAAAAAGTCACAAATTTCACAAATCGTGTAAATGTTGGCCAAGCTTGTGTACAATTATAGTTGTATCTGGGGTTGGATGCTGCACGCGGTTTCTATGGCAACCAATGATTTGAGAGCAATTCAGGCGCATATCTTCCACAACCATAATATCTCGTATACGTATTCAAGTTTACGAGTGTGCATCACACCCAATGGACTAATTTTTGTGCGTCAATACATCGGAGTTCGAGCCCCAAAACAAGATACTTTTTTATCCCTCGGGAAATTGAGAATATACGGTTATCTGTTGTTAATAAAACTTTTATTATAAAATATCATTTATCAATATAATTGGTATATAAAATATTTATAAAGCGTAATATAAAACAAAACAGTTTATACAAAGTACTTCAATTTTAAATAAAAAACTTAAAAATATTTCCATCGATTCTTAACAATAATTATAATAATTTATGTCTAGAAGCATTTGGTTTTGATTAGTGCCCCACTAACATATATGTCATACATACATATCATTTGAAATATCTGATTTCTCTATCATTTATACTTTGAAGTGGCCTAGAGTGGCATGCCATTGTATGTCCTAAATTATTTTGTAATTGTTTAAACTTAAACAACTGTTCCTGACTTATTCCAAGTGGTTCTGGCTGGAGTATCCATATGACAATTTCAGCACACGGAGGAAATGTCAGAGATCCCTTATAACAATAGTAATCTGAATTGAATGACGGTGCTATCCAACTAATAGGCCTAGGCTCAATCTCACATAAGCTATGTGGCAGTACAATATTAGACAGTCCGCGAATCACATGTTCCAAAAAAGGATTAGACACCGGCGTTATATTGTAACAATAACTCAAAATAACCATGCTTTCTCTACGGTTACACGAAGAAGCTTCCGTCAAATTTTGAACGCCTTCTCTCAAAAATATTAACTGTGCTTCCAAATCGCTTCGTTCGTAGTTGAAACTATGTTCAGCTCCAGGAGCCCAACGAAATGCCAGACATTGGAATATATATTGACTTGTAAGTGGACCTCCAGAGATTTGAGGTTGCTTGCCCACAAGCCAACTTCCTAAAATCCAGGCATGTGTCCTTCGTTATGTAATTGAAGTTTCACAGGTTTTTCTGAAAAGTTCTCACAAACCAAATCCTTACCAGATGGTACTTCTATAGTCAAACTGCTGGTGATGTTTATTGGTGACTGTCGAAAGCCTTGAGACATTGGATAGTTATCAGTCCAAGAATCTACTCCAAAAGGACCTTCGTAATAGTAATCATCAGTTCGATTAGGACTGGAAGTAGTTTGCCAAATGCATATGCCAATGTGATAACTAAAAAATGTGACTACGAAAACTGCGATCATTCCCATAGATAAGATGTAGTGAAGTTTTCTCCAAATTCCCAGTCGCATCCATTTGGAAAAGTTTTTTTTCATATTGACTTTTGCATATTAATAAATTGTAATAATGTAATTTATCATATACAGAAATAGAATGTTTACATACAATATGCCTGGTCTTAAAATACCTTAGGCACTATTTTGGTGGCTGCGGTAAGTTGAATTGAAGTTGAATTAAAATCACAAAAAACACTCGAAAATTAGTTTTTAATACATTATCATTCCAAGACTTTCATTATCGTTTTGGAGTTAACAATCTCTTGTCGCCTTACTAGACTTCTAAGACAATTCTCAGTGATTAATTTAATCATTTAATTTTTATTAAATGATTTGATTGATTTTTTTTTAAGTTATTAGATTTTGTTATTAATAATCAATGAGTCTTAGAAAAATAACAGACAATCGTGATAGAAAAAGTAGCAAAAATACTACTAAATCACCTGAAATTAAAGCAAAAAAACACAAATATTATCAAAGAATTTTATTCAGTTATATCAGTATTATTTTTTGAAATTTTCGAATTTTTTGATCGGGATGTTTTCCACCAATTTTCTGCGCCCCATAAAACAATAATAAAAAGCATAACAGCATTTAGAAAAATCATCACTTTTGTATAAGATCCGGAAGAATCACGTATAATACCTGAAATAGTAACATTCAATGAGTGAAACTATTAGTTACCATACAAATAGTAATTAATCAGTGTTTTATATTATAAACTTACCTAGTAAAGGTCCAAATCCTAGAACAAATATACCATTTGATACATTTTGTAAACCGAAGGCACATGGTAATCTATCTAATGGAACATAATTTGGTATAATCAGTCCAGAATAGACTGTTCGAATGCCTTTGGACACACCAATGACTAAACCGCACAACATTATTTGCAAATAGGTGGTGGAATAAATCAAACCTGGATATATTTTAATTAAGTTAATGATTGTGTTATGAATAATTCATAAAAAATTTCAATATAAATTTTACACATATGCTAGATCGTTTCATATTTTCCCTATAGTATAAGGTACACGTTGATCGTACTTTTATTTAGACATCTTTGTCGAGTTTTTTTGTTCTAATTTCTGATTAACAAGTTTTAGTTCTTATTTGTAAAATTTATGAAAATTTCAATTAGCAACTGTAAGAGCTTCTCAAACATTATGAAAAAATAATTAATATTAATAATCATAATTGAATGAAGGACATCATAGAAAACTAGTTGTTCTCGTATGTAAGGGGGTATTCTGTTGTAGAAATTAAAAAAACAATTGTTTTTTCTTCTGTTTCATATTTTCAAAGTTTAACTATTTATTTAGTATATGGGTTTGAGAGGGTTTTTGAAAATTTAAGTTATTTTAGGAAATACACCTCTTTGGCTATGATAATACTCTTCTGTTTTCTTCCGTTTGCAAAACTTTAAACGTGTTTTTGTTTATATTAAATAAAATTGCTTTGCATATATCAGTACAATATATTAATTGTAGAGTAATTAAACTATATAAAATCAAATCTAAAAATTATATAAAGAATCAATATTTCACAAACTAGAATAGAATTTTCAATTAGCAACTGTAAGCGCTTCTCAAAGATTATTAAAAAATAATTGATATTAATAATCATAATTAAATAAATAACATTGTAGAAATCTAGATACTCTCATATTTAAGGGGGTAATCCATTGTAGAAATTAAAAAAACAATCGTTTTTTTCTGTTTCATATTTTCAAAGTTTAACTATTTATTTAAAACATGTATTCAAGAGGATTTATTAAAATTTAAGTCATTTTAGGAGATACAGCTTTTTGACAATGATAATGCTCTTCTGTTTCCTTCCTTTGGGGCCGTTCAAGTATTACGTAAGCATTATAGGGGGTGGGGAGGTTGTTGATTTGCTTATTTTGGGTTGACATGGGAGGCAGGGGAGTCTGGATGATGATTACGTCATAGGTAGTATTTTTATTTTTTACATTAATTGCAAAATGGGGGATAAATAATTGTAATAAATCTGCTTACGTAATACTTGAACGATCCCTTTTGCACTTTGAACGCGTTTTTGTATAAAGTATATAAAATTGCTTTACATATATCAGTACAATATATTAATTATAGAGTTATTATATTATATAAAATCAAATCCAAAAATTATACGAAGAATCAATATTTCACAACCTAAAATAGAAATAATTTAGATATTTATTTCGGTCCGAATAAACATAGATTTTGTTTCTGGTCTCTATTAGGTTGTCCGTAACGGAGTAAAATAACTGTATATTCCGAAACTACTCATTTTGGTTTTTCCTAAATTTATATTCCGAACTTACTCATTGTACTTGTAAATAAAAAAGTATTATCAGATACTTCAAATTTTAATCAAACGATCCATTGATCTGATTTAACAAATAATTTAATTTATCAAAGAACAAACACAGAAAATACTTATAATAAATATGACTAACGCGACAAATGTGATTTCCCACTATCTTTAGATAATAATTAATAGATTTAATGTTTTAATTACCTGTTCTAATTAAAATCAATATAACAACACTGTGCGAAAACATCATCCTCGGCGACTGTTTAAAATAGTCACCAATGAATGGACACACGAATCTCGTAATGATGTCGGAAATTGCAATCGCCGACATTACGGAAGCGATTTGATTCCGGTTTAATCCCATGTCGCCAAGTATAAACGGGGTTAACATCGAGAAATTCATTTCCGAAAAAATGGCAGTTGAGATTCCTATCATTATTGCAACGTACGTTGAATCTGCTAATAACTTCAAATCGAAAAACTGCACGATATTATTAGTAAATTTCGTGCAGCATGTTGTAGTGGCAGACATATTTTCCTGATCTTTTGATGATGTTTCATTTTTATATATTTGCCTGGAAATTGAAATATGTAATATAGAGCATTAATTCTGAAATAATAAGAATTATTCAAATATAACTTATATATAAAAAAAAAATTCCACGCGGAAGAAGTTTAAAGTAGAAACAAAAATATGAAGGGTAGAAATGAATTTTTAGTGAACTTCTGTTATTTTTTAAGAATATTTTCAAGTTTCATCTCTATGAACATGGCTCTCTTATTAATCGATCGCATCTTTTACCTATCATTATCAAATGCAGAAATACTCAAATATTTAACATTTAAAATTAGTCTTATATCTTGTCTAAGTACCGCAGAAAACTAAAAAAAAATCTAATTTTTTAAATTCAGTTAGTATTTTAAATTATACCAAGTTATTGCAGAACGATCAAGTATTATGTGTATTTTGTGTGTATATAGGTGTAATTTGGAAATATTTTTTATTTAGTAAAATTTGAAAAGTATTGGTAAGTTTTCTGTTGTATTAATGAAAAGTAATGTTTCCTGTATAAATTTTTCGATATATTTAGAAAAAGGTAGAAAAATATCCCAAATTTTCCATTGCATTTATCCAAATTTAGATTTCCAAGTCGTTTTATTCAAAACTTTTATATCGGACTGAATAAAACTGTTCACATGAAAATGTAGTATTTATCTAGTTTCTGCTGTATTAATGAAAAGTAATGTTTCCTATATAAAGTTTTCGAGATATTTGAAGAAATGTAGAAAAATGTCTCGAATTTTCCATTGCATTTATCAACATTTTGATTATAAGTATTGATTTATTTTAATCGGTCGTTTCAGGATTCATATGAGATAAAATAAATAATTGTGTAAATGACTTCTAGTAACAATAGACAGGTGACTAATGTGAGTTAATCGCTATTGATAATTGTTTCACTGCATGTTCAGACGAGATTTGGTTATCTTAGATAAAATATCATATGATTTAATAATACACTTATTTGTATACGAAAAAGTCTCCAGTGACGAGTTTAATATTAATTTTAAGAAAATGCTAAAGTTGTTGGAACACTTACTGTTTTTCATCTGTTAGTTTAGTATTTTCACCGATGTTATTTTTTATATAATAAAGTCATCATTAGTTTCTAATTTGTTGTTTCCTAAATAATCCATCACAACTGATATCCTATGAGAAGACTTCCGATCTTTCTCATTATCCATTTCGACATTTTTAATTATTGGTTGACTTGCATATTTTCTTTGCATTTTATCTGGTTTTTGTATTATCTCAAATACTGAAATAATAGCAAGAAAATGGCTATAATTTAGCAATAATGTAAATAATGGTTGCATTACTATTTTAAGTTTTTTGAAGTTATTAATAGTTTTTTGAACTCCCAAAAAGTATATTGTAAATATAAATAAGAATTTTTATTCCACTTACGATTTGAAAATTTTGTAAATACTGCAGAGTGTCTTTTTCGATTTGAAATCGAATTTTGTGATTGTTGCTGTGTTAAATTCTTAAACTCAAACTCTCCGTCCATCATCGCTAAAGTAACTGGCCGCTGATTTTTTTTCTTTTCCAAATACTCATGTTCTTCTTCGGACAAAAACACATCCCAAATACTGTCCACTATTTTGGGTTCTGCTATAAATAAATAATAATATAAATTCTTAATTGGGTTTATGCTTATATCTTTTAATTACCAAATGAACTCACATTTCAATTTCACAGAACAATCTTTATCTGTATTCATATCAGCACATAGTTTTTGTTTTTCTTCAAGTTCCTTCGAAGGGTCTAGTTTCTCGTTTTTTGCAAATTCCTTCATTTCTTGATTAGAATCATCTTTCTTCATATGCCACTTAACTGGCTGCAGGATTAAAGCGGTTGCAAATGTGTGGGTCGCGATAGCGCCAAACATTAACATGCAACCAAAGGCTCCATACATATGAAGAAAATATGCTATCATGTGTGGAACGAAAATTGGCCCAATACCTAAAATGGTAAAGCTAGATCAAAAATGGTTTTATATTTATTGACATTGATAATTTAGATTAGGTGACATTTTATCAATTGGTTTTAAGATAACATTATGTAATCAATTAACTATAGGAAGGCATGTATTATTATTAATAGTTTGATTTCGTATGGTTTTAACCTTTGCCAGAAATGGAAAATTAGTTCATCCTGGATTCAAAATTTTTAAATTTCTTTTGAATTTACATTTTTTTTGTTACCTACTTTATATAACAAAATATTATTTTTAATTTACCGGTTATTGTCATGGCGATTCCAGCAGCCCTGTGCCTCCTTTTTTTAAAATACGTATTTAATGCTAAAGAGTATGAAGCAAACACTAGGCTGAATCCAATTGCTGAAATGAAAAATTATTGTTACGAAGATTCAAATTGAGAAATGCTAATGAATCAGGAATTTAAATAAATTATTTAATATATTAAATATTTTGAATTCGATAAAATGAGAAATGATATTCAAATTTTTGCCAAATTTTTTTGCCAAAAGCGTTTTATTGGCTAAGTTTTTCATGACATATGTAGATATTATACTCACAAGTTATGATACTGTATGTGGCAATAAAATGTTCAAAAGTTCTTGCAGGAGCAGTTGCTATAATTCCAATAGTAGTCAAAGCCCCTCCGATCAAGGCCATTTTCCGAAAGCCATATTTTCTTAAAAGAGGCCCATTTATAAGGCCTAATAACATCCCAAATGATGTGTTTATACTTAAAACTACAGAAACGTTTGTTGTAGACATTCCAATATCTGCGAATGTATCTTTGTAAATTAAAGTGAATCCGTGAATCAGCGGAACAACTATCATCTGAAATTGAAAGATGTTCATTGAAAATAATTGTATAATGAAGCAGCAATAATAATTAATGATACAAGATGTTGATATTCGATCTAAGTCAATCGACAAAATATATCAAATATCGTTTTGAAAACATTGCTACGAGCAGGAAATGACATCAAGTTTAATCAATACTGAACATCAATAGAAATAATTTATATTTTCAGTACGAGAATTTTATTTTATATTAATTTTTTTCTAATTAATTATATATTAATTTTATAAAGTTATTTGTCTATGTTAAAAAAATTTGCAATATTTTATTTTGCAAACAAAAATTATGGAGAATGTGATTCATAAAACAGCCATATTTTATTATTTATATGTCTGTTTCTGAAGTAAAAATATATAAGAGATTTTGGTCGTTGTAACTAATGCTATTAAATTAAACAAAAGTGTTATAGTTTTCTGGAAATGCAAATAAATTAGTGAGCTCTGAACAAACAAACTATGCATTGTAAAACTTCTTTGATTAATTATTTTTCAAATTCTCACAGCAATGTATAATGAGGAATCAAAGATCTTATATTGATTCTCATATTACTAAGAAATTTGGAAGTCAAATTGGAAGATCTAGCTTTTTTCTAAATTAATATATATACAAATAAGGTAATAGCGATATCATTAAGAAATTGGGATAAGAGGCCAAATAGTTGTGATTAGAATATGTTGTTGCATAATTGAAATATACAAACAATAGGTATACCAAAATTGAAATTCAGACAATATTATTAAAATGTATTGTACTTTACTTTTTCAATATACTCACATTGGCTATAGCGAATGCTATGACCACCATCCATCCCCAGCCTCCATCAGGAGCAATAAATCCTTTGGAATCTGCCATGATTTATATATAACTTTACTTGAATCCTTCATGTACTTAAAGACAATTAAATTTTGTTTATCATTGCTTTTACTAAATGCTCAATAAGTAGTTGAATTGATTAATGTTTCCCACTGTTCTTCATTTTATCACTTCAAACAAACACTTGTTTTATATTGTGATAGCTTTGCTTTGTATGATCTCACAAACTACAAACTCACTTTGGTTTTAATTAGATTAAACACAATTAATCATTTTATTTATGAATTATCTATTAATAATGTCTTGGTAGTAATTATTAGGGTTATCTAGAGTATTTTATGTAAACAAATGCAAAGGTGCAAAGTATCGTTTTGCATGAACAATATATAGAGAACAAATAGTTCAGCGTTTCGACGGAAGCAACTTCTTGCTGTAATTGTGATAGTATTGATGTTAATTTATTACAAATATTTTATTTTATTTTATACATTACATTTTTAATTAATTTTTTTTTACATTTTTATAATTGTTTTCGTTAAAAATTATCATTCGTCCGTTTTCAGAACTGTTTAGATAGAATTAACTATCTACATAAAAGGTAGGTTAACCCTTTCGCCGGAGCGGCGGCATACGAGTGAAAAGGGTTAGGTTTGATTGAGGTGTATTCTATATGAATCAAGTAATTAATATTACTGAAATGATGATAATATTTATCTGGAGAATATAACGGATAAGTGATATCACATAAAAATTCAGCAAATTAAATTTGAAGATTTGCATTAACCATAATTTTTACGGAGTCTTGAAAAAAACCTTGATTTTACTCATATTTTAGAAAAGAGAGTTAGATTTTAATTAAAAAAATAAGTGTAGTAAAATAAAGGCAATGCGTTTAAAAATATAACTTTCCTGATTTTTGTAGTTCTTTTCTATATATCAATTATTTCTTAAGATACTTTATAACTATATTTATTTCACTTATGTAAGTCGTGCGATATTATAATCTATGTATTACAGGTAACCAATCAAGCATGTAGATACAAAAAATATTTTAAAAATACTTTGTTATCAATTTGAGCGTTATCTGTTTGATAATATTAAGTATAAGAATCAGTTATTTGTATTTATATAAAAAATATATTTGGACACTAAGTTATATTTTATAATGTATATTTTAAACCATATATATGTATATATATATATATATATATATATATATATATGATGTTTAACAAAAATGCTTCATATAAAAATTTATAAATATCTAAACTATAATTTATTAATAATTTTTGTTATAAGAAATAGATTTATTTTGAGAGTTTGTGAACATTCATATCTATTTTGTTTCTGATAACATTATACTAATTATCATCATCAACAATGCATCATGCATAAAATAAAATGAAAACAATGAACTTTGGATTACTATTCTTGCACGAATTACTCATATGTAGTGAATTAACACACTAGAAATGGCACTATAAGCACAGCACTAAGTATATGTATAAATGAGTATAAAAATTATGGTACTATTGAATACTGTCGAACTTGTCTATATAGTTTATTAATAAATGTAAATTAATTTTCCCATAAAAAAACAAAGCACATGCTTCGCAAGCCGCACGCCACAACACTGCTTCTGTTTTGAATTCACGCATGCTCCATACGCGACATGACGATGATCTAGGGTTGATCATGTGTATATATGAAAAAACAATTTCTTTTAAAATTTTATTTATATTTTATTCTCATGAAACGCCGATCAACCACGTTCTTCTTCCTTTACCTTCCAATGATTTCAATCCGAATTTTCATTTTATCTACAAGGGTATCCAATGTCGTTCTATTTTATATCATTTCTTGTTCACTATCTTATTAGTTAATTTATCTGTCAGATTCTTATTCAACATATTTTTCTAGTACCACATCCAAAACGTAGTTTTCGGCTTAGTGTTCATGTTTTTGATACGTTGATAACTGTGTTCTAAATATAACAGATTTTTTTACTAATCAATGTTCATTTTTTAGTATCTTTAGTTTGTAAAAGTCACTTCATGAGGATAACTTCATGGTGATCCTTGCTCTGATCTCGCTCGACAAGTACTGGTTTTCATTTAAAATACTAGCAGCTGCTACTAGTACTAGTACTCCACATCTTCCATATCCTCATTTTTTTCCACATTTAGAATGCACATTTTGTATGCAAAATTTATTTTCTCAATATGGTTCCAATCTTGATCCTGATTTTTGTACTTGAGAATCCAATGTAAGTTATTTTTGTGCCATTTTTTGTATGGTAAGTTATAGTAATGGGCCGAAAATCGAAAATATTTTTTTGCATATCATCACATTTCAGAGGTTTCTGAATATTTTGTCATACCTCAGACAAAATGGATGTGTCGGTGTTTTGTGGGGTCGCTGTCCGATTTCTATTGATAGGGAGATGAGTTTTTGAGAGAACGGAGTATCCTATTTGAATGATTTCAAAAACATTCAATTTGTAATGCATGGGAGAAGTGGTAATTAGTTTTTGATACAGACAGGTCCAGCTATTTTGAAGATACAGGGTTGAATGTACAAAAAATAGCAGTTTTTGAGAGAACTGAGCATCCGATTTGAACAATTGCTTTAGGGAAAACAATATTTTAAAAATTTTTGTATATCAAAAATAATTTTGTTTATATAATTCTTATAAATATTGGACAGTATTTATAATAATCTATTTGAGAACATTTAATATTCCTCGAACATTTCGTTACTGTACGGAAAGTTCCAGCAATTTGCCTTAAGGCTCGATGCCATACACCACTAGTTTACTATTTTATTGGTTTAACTTGTATGCCCATTTCATCTTGAGTCTTTTGTCTTTGTGTTGATGTTTTTATATATTTATAGCTATCTTATAAATATAACAAACCCTTTTGCTAATCAAGGTTCAGATTTCTTGTTAATATTTTGTTACTTCAGTCCTGATGTTCTAGCCTTGATCTATCTCTTCTAGTACTTCATTTGAAATATTTGCCTCATGATGTCAACCCTGTTCTACGCTGACCATTAAGCTCAAATGCAACAAATGAGTGTCAACGACTCTAAATAGAAAGGCTGAAGGATACATGAAAATAACTCAATTCGATATTTTCCATTTGTTGTTTTATTTATCAAACGTTATAATGTTTGGTCAAGGATCAAACAGCTTATAAGTTGAATATTTGCAGTTAAATTTGATAATTTCATTATTATCTATACATAAATCCATGGCATGTATCTCCTAACAAAATGGCAAAAAATATAATAATAAACATATAACTATTTTCTGTTAAGGCAGGGTTGGTAGTAATAGATTTAATTTCACACTATTGACATTTTGATCATTAAACTCGTATATATAAATCATTTTATTTGGACAAATAAGTTCAATTTACCATATACCACAAAAATATTAATCTAAAATGACTCAATATGGAAATTGTGAGATTAAAAATACTGTAGAAAACTATTCGTGGAACATTTCTTGAGTACTTCAAGAACTTTTTATATCATCCATCTTTGTTTCGATACCAGAAAAATTGCGCCTAATATTATGTAAATCAAATTCATTTTGGCTGTTGAGCAAGTATTGTACTTACAGAGGCAAATATTTAATATTAATCAGTAGTCAGAAGAGCTTTCAAGAAAAAAATCTTTTAGAACTATTTTCAGTTTTGATTTTTTTTTGTCAAACTTTGTAGACTTAAATTAAAAAATTCCCAATTATATATGAAATGTTTGAATATATTTCTTTTGTGCTCAATAGAAAGCAAATCGTATATAACAAAATTTGATCGTTTTTGTAACTTCAAAATTAGTTTTTTATAACTTTTAGTAATTTGTTTCGGTTATAAATGAATACTGATAATGTACTTGTAAAAATTTTATTCATGTATAACAATATCATTTTTGGAAAGTTTTTTGGTTCGGGATGCTTTCCATTGGCTCTCGATACCCCATATCACAATAATAAGAAGAACTGCAGTATTTAAGAAAATCAATACTTTAGTATAAGATCCAGAATAGTCACGTATCACACCTATAACAAAATACAAAATATAATGAAAATAGGCATTGTAATTTTATTTTTTATTATAATTATGATTACCTAGAAGTGGTCCAAATGCTAATACAAATATACCATTTGATACATTTTGTAAACCTAATGCACATGGTAATCTTTCCAGAGAAACATAACCTGGTATGATCAAACCAGTATAGACTACTCGAATTCCTTTGGATATTCCAAGACCCAGAGCGCATAATAATATTTCGTAATAAGTATCACAATATATAAGACCTAAAAAAATATATGTATAAATATTAAATTACTGGATTTAATATATATATTTCTTGAATCCGTGTAGTAGAAAATAAATGTATGGATGAATTGCCGAGCATTGTCATTTTGACTACCAAATAGATTTTCGGTTTTGGCCAAATAAACCCTTTTAATTGTGAAGTAGTTGAATGTAATACGACCGAGCTTTGCATATCATTATTTTACAAGTATATGATTTTATTTAATAAATATAATCGAGATAAAAATATACCTGTTCTAGTCAAAATCAATATGACAAGACTATGTATAAACATCATCCTAGGCGTCTGTTTGAAGTAGTCCCCAATAAATGGACAAATAAATCTGGTAACAATATCAGAAATAGCAATCACAGACATGACATAAGCAATTTCATGTCGAGTTAATCCCATATCGCCCAAAATAAAAGGAGTCAGCATCGAAAAATTCATTTCCGAAAAAATTGAGGTAGAAATTCCTATCATTATCACAATATATGTTGGATCTGCGAGCAGCTTCAAATCGAAAAACTGAACTACTTTTTCAGTAAATTGTTCACAGCATGTTGTTTTGTCTGAATTTTTAAGATGATCTTTGGATACTATCGCTGTGCCATTCTCCATGCAAATTGTTTGTCTGTTGATCAAAATATTATGTAAAAATAATTATCAATTATGCTAAAAATTAAACATTTTTTCGCAATATAGGTCAATATATATATCATTTGCATTAGATTGAAAAAAGATCTTGTTTTATCTCATTCTCAAGCACTTATTTGTACTTTGTGCTTATCACACTTAAAGCATTGCTGAAGCTGATCAAAGTTTTTGTGTCAAAATAACCAATTAATTTTTTGTAGATTTTGTAAGCAAAATTTTGATACTGATTTATTATAGCAAAATGCTACTTAATTCACATTCAGAAAAAGAATTAGCAGATTCTAATCTAGCAAATATATCAAATAGGTAGATATCAGATCTAATAATGAATAGCCATTTGGGCTTTTTTATCGTTATTTACCATTGCCTTAAAAACGAAAGCATTTTTTCAATAAACAATAAACTATCTATTACTAAAGTAAACTTTTTTTGTGACGTTCTTCTGATGTGATTCAATAATAAACCTTTACATTTTATTTTCTCCGGTTAATTTACTTGTTTCAGTTTCATTTCTATCATCATATTCATTAAATGTGTTAAGTTTATCATTTCCTAAATAATCCATAACGACTGATATTCTATGCGATTTTTCTCGTTCGTCATAATTTTTCATATCTTCATTATAAATAATTGGTTGGCTAGCATACTTTCTTTGTACCATATCTGGTTGACACTCCAATACTGAAAAAAAAAATTATGAAATATTTTAGATTAAATTTGATGCAGACAGGATTGAGGAAGAACATTATAATTTTTACAAACCTAGAAACTTAATCTTACTAATCAAAATATTTTACCACAATTATTGGCAAATTTGGTAAAATTTGTTTTGTATATTTTTGAATTGCATAATTTAAAATATAAAAAAATTAATATCTTACGACTTGTAAGTTTTGTCAATGTGACAGAATGACTTTTTTCTTTAGAAATTGCACTTAGGGATGGGTGTAGACTTTGATCTCCAATTTGTAACTCTCCATCCATCGTTGCCCTCGTTATTGGAGCTTTATTTTTTTTCTTCTCCAAATACTCATGTTCTTCTTCAGATAAAAATACATCCCAAATACTGTCCACCATTTTCGGTTCTGCTATAAATGATTACAAAATAACTTTCTTTTTTATAAGATTGTTTTATATAAATATCAAATGTTTAGTAATTTTTTTATTTATAATCTCCAAAAATTAGTGTTATAAATAATCATAAGTTAAGAAATAACTCACAGTTAACTTCTTTAGAATTATCTTCCTTTGTAATAACAACAGAACACAATTTCTGTTTCTCCTCGCAATTTTTTAAAGTATCCTGCTTAATATCTTTTGGGAAGTCTTTAATTTTTTGAGAAGAATCATCTTTCTTCATATGCCATTTAACTGGTTGCAAAAGTAAAGCGGTTGCAAATGTGTGAGTCGCGATCGCTCCGAATATTAACATGCAACCTAAAGCACCATAATTTTGGACAAAATATGTTATCATATGCGGAACAAAAATCGGCCCAATACCTGAAAACAAAAAAAGATTTAATTTTATATTTTAAAAATGCACAATAACAGTATCACAGGCAATTCATAATTTTTCCACTGAGCTTTTTGAGTAGAAAGATTGAGTAAACAATGGTGCATTGTTGAGGGTGGAAATATTATACATGGGTGGAAATTTATATTCAATATCATCAGGCTTAATTGTATATATCACATTTCTCTCCATACTAATGTAAATATTTGTGCAGACAATTGAGGTAATGAGAAAATCTAACTGGCTAATTTTTTCTACGCTGTTTTTATTATCTGAATTATAAATAAAAATAAATAATTTCTTAGAAAAGGTTAAAAATAGATTTCACCGTTTATTAGTGTTATTATCTGTTCAAAAGAATTATTTATAGAAATAAATAATCGATAAAAAGTTTATATGATTATTTTTTTATGAAGATTAGATTAAGTTTTAAAATTACATCGCACAAATTATTTTTATTCTTTGAAGAAACGATGACTTCAAGTGCAGTAAAATAAAATCAAAAACTAGTGGGGTGCATGGCAGCGTGTTTTAAGGCAATTTGCTAGAACTTTCTGTACCGTAATTAAAAATCTTGGTGCGGAACCCAAAAAAAAATTACACAAAATGTGTACACAAATCTCTGTAAAATATCTGATAATTTGATATACATATGACCAATAAACATTTTTGAACGCCAAATGTCATTTTTTTAACTTATTTTATACTGAGAGTCTATAACCGCTGGACATGCTTTCCCAAAAATTTAATCAGTTTTTTACCTTTTCAATACAAGTAAAATGTTTTTTGAATTATTAAAATCGGACGCTCCGTTCTCTTAAAAACTGAGTTTTTGGCACTTTTTGCTTCGTATCTTCAGAACGGCTAGACCTGCCTTTGCCAAAAACTAATCAGCACGTCTCCCCATCAATACGAATCGAATGTTTTTTGAATTATTCAAATCGGTTGATAGATATTTCCGAAATCGTCGACAAAAATTTGTATCCGCACACACACACATACGTCCATTTTTCTAAGGTATGCCAAAATATTCAGAAATCTTTGAATTGTAAAGATATATGAAAATTTTCAGTTTCGATTTTTTTGCGGTTACTATAACTTACCCTACGGAAAGTTAATAATATTAGCTATCCAAAAAAAGCATTTATATATGAAAGGAAAAATAAATATTATACTGATTTTAAGAATTTACCCGTTATGGTCATTGCAATTCCAGCAGCTCTATGTCGCCTCTTCTTGAAATATGTATTTAACGCCAAGGAATATGATGCAAGTGCAAGGCTGAACCCAATTGCTGAAATAAATTAATTTTTTAAACCCAACTTATTCATATATTATAACAACATCGAATTCAAAGAATTTACATATATGTATGTATATATTTAATTAGTATACTCACATGCTATAATACTGTATGTAGTAAAAAAATGACCAAAGGTCCTCGCTGGCGCTGTTGAAATGATGCCAATCGTAGACAGAGCGCCACCAATTAGGGCCATTTTTCTAAAACCATACTTCCTCAAAAGCGGCCCATTTATTAATCCTAATAAAAGTCCAAAAGACGTGTTTGTATTCAAAATCACAGATACGTTTGTCGTTGACATTCCAATGGCAGCAAATGTGTCTTTGTAAATCAACGTAAATCCACGGATTAGTGGAACTATTATCATCTGAAATGAATAGAAATTATGAAATTATTTACTAAAGACCTGACCTAATTTTACCAAAAACGCGATTCGCATTTGATCCGTTTGGTTTTCGAATTTTAAAAAATAGGTTCAGGTTTGCGAAAAAGATGAAGTTAGACGATTGAAGATTACGCCAGAAAATCCGATTTGATAATTTTATATTTTTTTTTCTTAATCGTTTTAGACCAAAATTGAAAAAAATGTGTGTGTGTGTATGTCGGCCACATTTTGACCTTTCCTCGACGTTTTCTTAAGAACATCTACACCGTTTCAAAGATTCAAAACCCATCCGAATAATTTCATGAAAGTAAAATTTAAATATAAAACAGAATTCACACCGCTTTGATTTAAATCTAAATCTTACGGTATTTAAAGTTTTCACATATTTGTTGTTCTAACGTATATCTATTTTGAATCTATAATCTGGTAATTAACTGATAATTATGAAATCTATAATTGTAAGTGAATAATGAGAATTGATAAAAAGGTTATCAATTGCATACTTCAATCATTATCATCTTTAACTTAATCATAATATAGTCGTATGATTCAATAATATGGTTTTGCTATAATAGTTCATTAATTGGGATAAGTTATGCCCAAAGTTTTTAATTTTAAATATTAGGTTTCAGAAGAGAGCAACAAGAAAGTTATTAGATAAAGTTAATGACAGAATAATTAAAAAAAAGTCTAGTGAATTATTCCATGTCCTTAGTATAAAAAACTTAATTTCTCTAACTCAATCTCAGTAAAGATTTATTGGATGAAAAATTTGTTTTTTTTTTTGTATTTTATGAACAATTTAATTTATATTTTGTATTGCTGATAAAGATAAACATATATCAAATACATAGCATAATTTTTTGGAAAAATCAAATAGAGACAAATCTTGGAAAATGATTTATAAAGTAGTTAATTCTATTTTTATCTACCATCTAGTCTATTTTTGAAACGTGGATGATATTGTCATAGAAACATATTAAATAATTAAATAAATAAATTTGATGGCCGTAGAAAGATTAAAAATACTGATCTCAGAATGTATTCGCAATAAAACTACAAATCTACATAAAAATGGAAAAGGCAAAGGTAAACTCCTGGGCCAACCTGCGTGCAACGATATGATAAAAAACCAGAAATCAGGTAAATACCATAGCTAAATTAATTGATTGGATAGCAAACAAAGACAGGAAAGCCTAAGAACTGGTAAACCATAATAGGAGAAAAGTGATTGATCACCAAAAAGTTATCAGCTCGTGAGAAAAATATTAGATGTACAACATTGCTTTTTTGTTTCCTCCAAAATTTGATGATTTCTTGCGAAGAATTCATATTGTTCAAACAGTAGGAACAAAAGATGTACGCCGACGGAAACTAATTTGTACACACAATCATTGAGAAATTGTATAATATGGAATATTGTTTTAACAACATTGCCATTGAAAGAGAAGAAAAGATAAGCAAATGAATGTGCATTCCAAGAATTAAAGTCGAGAAAACCAGTAAGGACAAGAATATAAAATCGACGGGAGACGATGACTTACCAGAAACTTGACCAAATTGATGAATAAAATACTCAATAACCATGAAAGTTCAAACTTCATAACATTGACTTCAAATTTTTTTTCATAATAATATTGGAAAGGGGCTAAAAACTAAAAGTATAGGTAAAATACAATTTCTTCATAATTATTTAGATTGTAATAGAAGAAAAAATCGTCTGCTGCTAAAGCTATATAGAGACTAGTCAAGAGGCATTTTACGTCAATGTATATAATTTTGGTTACAGATAGTATTGGCCTAGTTTCTTGTATAATAATAATAATAAATGATAGTCTGCCCGAAGGCAGGTCCATTGTGTGAGAGCCACCACAAATAAATGATTCTCTTACCCTTCATCTCATTACTACTATTCCCCCTCCCCTTTTTTATTTCATATATTTTACTTTCAGATTTTCTGCTTCCATGTTTCTAGTATATATAAACAAATATATTAATTTATTTTGTTATATACTTTTTTATTTTCAAGTTAAGTTAAATACGGATTGCAGTAGATATGCTATTTTTACAGACTGATTCTTTTATACACTTTGAGTATCAATTAATTTAAAGTGTCTGTATTACCCAGATAGATAAATCTATTTTGAAGGATATATCTCGGTGATGTTTACTTAAGGATGTGAAACCATTTAATTGCACATGCAATTATAAATATAGAAATATAATTTCTATAAGAAAATCGTCCAATTTGTATCTTTAGTTTGAAATTAACACGTGAATTGAAAAATACGTGCATGGTGCAATTATAAATATATAAAAATATAATTTCCATAATAAAATCGTACAATTGGTATCTTTAGTATTAAATTAACACGTAAATTAAAAACTATGTGCAATATTATTTTAAAGTCGATTAATGCAATAATCATTAAAAGATTAATAACGTATAATCTTTTTATCGACTAATTATTTTTTTGAGTAAAAAATATTAGATGTCTGCGATAATAAAACAATAATAACATTAGTGAGAGCTGAAAATCTATTTTGAGCATTTTCTAGGAAATAATTGATATGAAGTAATTATTTCAGAGAATGGAGAGATCTTATGCGTAGAAAATAATGGCCAAGGAATTTTGGTCATATCTTTACATTTTCGATAAAAAAAATCGTGATTCACTATTTTTGTGTTTTTAAATACAGCAATTACATGTGTTCTTTTTGCACCATATGGGAAAAAGAAATTTTTAAATGTTTCAATATTTAGTTTAAAGTTTATTTGATTTTTCAACTGTTGCCTATACCATTCGTAAGATTTTTTGCCATCGTTTGATGAATTTTGTAGTTTTAATATATGTACTTCAAATAATTTTAATTACTTTGAATTATAAATTCCATATTTCGTGTTTTTGATATACGTACTTCAAATTATTTTCAAATAATTTGAATTTCAAATAAAAAATCAAATTATTTTCAAATAATTTCAGATACTTTGAAATATAAATTATAATCATTATACAAGACGTGCCCAATATAGAAAATTTCGAGGATCAAATTATCTAATAACTTAATCTACTGACCCAGTTCAAGAAAGTAGTATGTGGATTTATGAAATATTAATCAATCATTGATAATTGTTCATTTTAAAGTTATATTTGCATAGTTTGATACATTATTTTCTATATTAATATAAATGAATTTACTGAATCTCCAGTTTGGCTCTTGGCCAGATCATGTTTGCAATCTATTTTAGTGATTCACACTATGGCCACCTCTATGCAATGCAACCAAGGCAATTTTAT